CCCCAAAACCCCAAAACCCCAAAACCCCAAAACCCCACAAATAAATTTAATTTTTGAATATACTTTATGAAGGAGATCCAAACCATGTGTTGGTGGTCCTGAACTCAGGCTGCTTCGGGATTGAGTAGATTCCTTTGTCAAATCTTAATTTCGACAAATGGCTGTTCACAGAATCGTCATGTATCTTAGACAGTTCTCTAACATATTTACCGTTCATTCTAACCAAGAGGATTAAAATCAAAATTTAAATGAAGATTACCTGACGCTGCTCGTATATGAATTTGCTCTTTCTAGTGATTCTTTATTTGAAGAGGCTTGTGACTTATTTGGCACCTCTATAACACCTTATTAATCTACTTTTAAGGACCAGATTAGGTAAGAAAGTGAGAAATTATAAGAATTACGCTGCTTAAGAAAAATTTGGTATCCTCTGTTCAGTTTCTTTCTGGTATAATTACTTGAACTGATAGCTCTTCTATCATTTTCAACGGCAATAGTAAATTTATTCATTTTAACTCTTTTAGTACGGCCTTCATTTTGGAGGTATTTCGCGTAAGGAGTTTGAGACAGCCCTACGAGATCTATATAGCCATGGTTACCAACCAAAGTCTGGAAAGGAAGAAGCATAGATCATCAGTAGTTGTACTTACTCTTGAGTGAGTTAATATCCTTAGTTAGCAAAGCTTCCTTTACATCCCCTCTGAAGTTATCAGCTATGAGGTAAGTATTAACAAGTACAAATAGTGTTGTGTTCAGAAAGTTCATCTAGATTTTCTTTCTTCGGAAGCTCATTTATGTTAAACTCCCTTATAAAATTTTCCTTTGTGTTGTCATTTTCTTGGGAAGATGCTTCAGAGTAAGAGTTATATTCATTTTTATTCCTAATTTTTAAACCAATTTTTACTTATGAGAATGTAATCGATTAAAAGCAGATTCATCAAAAGTGTTATTTTCTGAACCTGACTCTCTTTGGTGGTAAACTTGGCTTGAGGAAGAAATCTGAGTTGAGCTTGGATTCTGTTTTGTCTAAAACCCAAAAAGATTGATAGGTCTTAAACTTTTCAAACAAAGTATTTTAATGGAATTTACCTTTTCTTCTGTTAATTCTGGACGCAGGAGTTGATTCAACATGTTCATATGCGTTCTCATCAGCTATAAAAAGTCAGTACTACACTTTCGCTATGCTGGAGGCCTTATTATACCTTCAAGTGGGTCTTGACAATCAACCATAAAATTATGAACTTTATATCATCACCACAACATTCATACTGCGATTTAAGTATCTCCAGAACTAATCAGCGATATCAACAGTACCTCCTCAAAAGAGTAATTCAACCCTTAAATGATAAAGAAAATATCGAATGGCTCAGTATAGACTTTAGCTCGATAGAAACTAATTAACTCCATCTATATTCTACAACTTCGACTCTAATACCCAAAACTATCATCCTCATGAACCCAACTACACCTAAAATCTCTATTAAGACCATATACCAACTTCTCCTAAAACTTGCTAAACTCCTAAAATCCCATTTCTTCCCAAAAATCGCACCAGTTTCATCTAGATGGGGGTGCAAGAGTACCTATAGCATGATCGCTTTCGCTATGTCTGATGGTCTTATAACTCTCTATAAATATTACTGGTAAAATACCATGGCTGATTTGGTGGAATGCAAGCATTGCTTTCCTCTGTTCAGTTAATTTATTTTCTAATAATTAGTCAGAGGCGTAGAGAATGGAGGTTACTTTTTATAGCTTGTTGATGTCCCTTAGTAATTTATTCTTCTTGTAATTCTTAAGCCTCCTTCTTTGCTTCTGGAGGGGGTATTAGAGAGGAGAGAGAAGGAAAATAAGCCCTTTGAGGGAGATTTTGGCAAATATTTGGCTGTTTTAGGATGTAGGAGTTTGGAAATTTACTTACAATTACTTTGTTATTCAGGCTGTTACACCATGTGACGAAGTTCTTGTTGTAGCTGTTCAAAGGGTTGTATAGGGTAGGATCAACTTCTGAGAAATAAGCTATAATAACGGTTATTTTGACTTGATAATACTTACAATCAGAAGATTTTCTGGGAGCCACCCATGATTTCTTCTTGTTATTTGCTATTCTCATATATCTGCTGCTTCACATTCTGAATGTGTATTGCCTGACGGCTCATGAAATATGGTATCTTTGAGACTGATTCTAGACTGCGAGATTCTAAAAATAAGGATGAATTTACCCTTCTTCTTCATTTTTATTTAACAATAAAAGTTATGAAACTAGGGGTTTTGGGGTTTTGGGGTTTTGGGGG